ATACAAGTTGCAGATGTTGATGGCAGACAAGAAAGTGCTCCATTTAGGAAAGAGAAAAGTATATAATTATTTCAATTTACACAGAATACTGCAGTAAATTTTGTAAGCATCTAAGAACAACTGTGTCTATTAAATAGAACTGTTTCAGTTTCCATGACAAAACACCAAGTCTTTAAATGGAACCTGTTCAACTACAGTGCAACAAAAAGAACATGTCTGAGATGTAATAAAGGACAAAAAACCTTTTAATCAGAAGTACAGACAAAGCCAGCGATAGTAGCTGAAACACAATACCTGATCAATCCAGATCTCCAACAGCCAGAGCTAATCATCATCATCTATTTTCACTTCATTTGATAGTGAAAGATATGCAGGAAAAAATAGAAGTGTGTATAAGAGTTTCTTCATAAGTGCAGATTTAACATCTTTTTCTAAACTCAGGTGACGATGTAACAAACCTACCAGATCCTAAGTTCCCTTTTGCCTGGGGAAACAGCATCATAATTTATAAAATATTCGAGGTTTGGGAGTTCATCTAGTAGCCATCCTTCCCCTCCACTCCCGCACATTCAACTCCCCGAGCAGAAAGGCAAAGACAGGGTTGACAATGTAATACCCCTATGGCTATGTTAGCACTCCACTCCTTCTGGCAAATGAAATGTGGAACTAGTGCCTCTCACCCACACTGGAAGGAGCATACTCTTTTTCTCAGTGTATACTAGCAACACAAACCCAAGAGTTACTCTGGCAGAGAACAACAAAACCAGTTGGGTGCAACTGCTGATGAGACCAGAGTTTGCATTCCAAAGAACATAAGGGGACAGAACAACTTCCCAGAGACAGCACGCAAGGAAGTAAGCTCTCCAGAACTGCATTCCAGACCTCGTTCTGGTCCAAATAGTTAAATCTGACGGAGTCAACTTCAGAGGCACAGTCTGACCACATGTTGTTTGTCTTCAGTAGGCCTTAACAGGATAATGGGGGCAACATCAGATTTCTGAATCCGAACATAAAGTACACACACACACAATATGTGGTCACACTCAAACTGCTGAGTATTTTCATAGAACCACAGAATATCTCGAGTTGGAAGGGACCCATAAGGATCATCAAGTCCAACTGCCTGCTCTTTGCAGGACTGCCTGAAATTAAACCATATGATTAAGAGCGTCATTCAGATCCTCCTTGAACTCTGACAGGTTTGGTGCAGTGGCCAGTTCCCTAGGGAGCCTGTTCCAGCAACTGACCATGCTCTCAGTGAAGAACTTTTTCCTAATGTCCAGTCTGAACTTCCCCTGACACAGCTTCATTCCATGTACTCGTGTTCTGTCACTGATCACCAGAGAGAGGAGATCAGCGCCTCCTCCTCTGCTGGCCCCCTTGAGGAAGTTGAAGACTGCAACAAGGTCACCCCTCAGCCTTCTCGAAGCTGAGCAAGCCAAGTGACCTCAGCTGCTCCTCCTAAGTCTTGCCTCAAGACCTTTCACCATCTTGGTCACTCTCCTCTGGACAAAGTCTAATAGTTTGATGTCCTTCTTATACTGAGGCACACCAAACGGCACACAGTACTTGAGGTGGGGCTGCACCAGAGCAGTGGAGAGTGGGACAATCCCCTCCCGTGCTTGATGCATGCCAGGACATGATTGCTCCTTTTGGCTGCTAGGGCACATTGTTGACTCATATTCAACTTGCCATCAACCCAAACCTTCATATCTCTTTCAGTGGGGCTGATCACCCCGCAATGTGCAAACAGGATTACCCTGTTTCATGTGGAGAACCTGGCACTTGCTCTTGTTACATTTCATAAGGTTGATGATTGTCCAGCTCTCTAGCTTATGCAAAACTCTGTAAGGCCTCTCTACCCTTGAGGGAGTCCACAGCTCCTCCTAGTTTAGTATCGTCAGCAAACTCACTTAATATACATTTCATTCCTCTTCAACTCTTTGAGCCTGACCCATCAGCCAGTTGCTCACCCAACATATTATGGACTTGCCTACGCTGTGTGCTGAACAGTTGATCCAGAAGGATACTGTGAGAGACGGCATCAGAAGCTTTGTTGAAGTTCAAAAATACCATGTCTGCTGGCTTCCCTTGGTCAGCTAGATGGGTGACTTTGTCATAAAAGGAAATTAAGTTGGTTAAGCAGGGCTTTCCTCATGAACCTGTGCTGGCTATGGCCAATGTCTGCATTGTCTCTCAAGTGTTTTTCAATAACTCCCAGAATTACCTTCTCCATAATTTTAGAGGCAATGAAGTGAGACTGACAGGCCTGCAATTACCAGGGTTTTCCTTCTTACTCTTCTTGAAAATTGGGACATTTGCCAGCATCCAGTTGACTAGGACCTCTCCAGAGTCTCAAGACCATTGAAAAATAATGGAGGGAGGTCCCACAGGGAAGTGCCATGGCCAGGTCTTTCAGTACCCTTGAATGAATCACATCATGCCCCATAGATTTATGTGCATCCAGTCAAAGCAGCAAGTCTCAAACAAGTTCGGGGTCATCTGAGAGTTTATGATCCTCCCACTCATGGTCTTAGGGACCATCATTGGTGTTAAAGACAGATGTCTCTGCTTTGTCTACATCTCAAGGTGACCAACCTTGTCAAGCAAAGGACCAGTGTTATATCCGATTCTCCTTTTTATAAGCTAACTCCAGTTTCTCATTTTTGGAACACTCTACATAGCTCAATCATAAGGTTAGACCATAAATGTTTCAGTATTTTCTATTTTCTCATCATCAGCTTTGAACAACTCAAGCAAAACTACTTAGTAAATTCTAGCAGCATGGTCTTCAAAGTGTATCTTTTGAAAAACAAAGGTATTTACCCTCAAGAAGTTAGAACATCTAGGTGATCTAGCAATAAAAGTTTCACTTATTCACAGAATTAGTCCAGGGAAAAGAGATCAGTGTCTTTCCTCAGAAATGTTTGGTTCAAGTCTTGATAAAATCAACCAAGTGACCAACCAGCTCATCGTCCCTTCCTCCCATGTAATTCAGGTGGCTGAACACAGGAAAGAGAAGTGCTGAATTTACTATTCTTTCTGAAGAAAACCAGTTTACTTCTGGTTGCATTCGATTAGAGAAGCCTCTTTTCTGGCAACCCTCCGTGCTCACCATGCTCCTGAGCCATAGCAATATTCAGGGGTAGGGAGGTGTTCCCTCTTTCCAATAAATAGCTGCAAAAATGCTTCCTATGAAAAGGACGTCAGAAAATTAACAGACACACTTTTTGTCTGTAACTATCTGCTGTGGGAAAAGATAATTTATTAACAACTTTTCAAAGACAGATCAACCTGGTAATTCCTAAATAACCCAGAAGTCAAGGAAGATGCTGTGTGCAATAAATTCCCACTTTTCTAAATAAGCCAAATATACAGAATTAAGAATATCCTTTCCCCAAACAGGGCACCCAGCATTACATCTCCTCCACTCCAATGCACAATTAACTATTTTAACTGTTTCAGTTCATGACATTCCATCTTAATGCTTCAAAATATTAGATTTTGGGGCATAAAGTAATGCATGCCTGGAAAAATAATTACATTTTCATGTAAATAAATTCCATTTTCCCCTGTAAAACAAAAATAGGCATGCTTGGCACTGCAGAAATGCATTTTAAACATTCACCAGCACAGAGAGACCACTACAAACTGTTACCTGAAAGAACTTTTTTTCCTACTATTTTATTCAACCAGTAGCCTATTAAAAAGCATAAATTTGAGGTTTTACATTAATATTATAATTAAATAGAGTCAGACATGAACAACAGGCAACACAGTGGTAATAACAGCATCTTATTCTGGCTCCTCTGTAACTTAATTATGTAGGTACTAAAGAAAAATTTGCACAATAAAAAAAATCTTACTAAATGGAAAAAAAAAGAGTATTAGTTTTCGTAACACACAAAAGCAGAGACACAAAGAAGAGTCACATTTGGCAAGCAGACTAGGTGCCACCTGAACAAATACTAGCTTTCAGTGCAGAGGTAGTCAGTTCAGCAGAACTCATAATACAACTGGCTGCTTCTACTCAAGGAGCAGGAAATCAGTTGGCCAGTCAGATAAAAGTCTTGCAAATTTCATTTCAGCAGCCCTGTTAGAAATTAAGATCTTAAATAGCATTTGTCTTTCCATGGCTTGATCAGATTTCCATTTGTGTAGATGACATCTCGCATGTGCTTCCAGCTCTATCTTGGCAAACTCCCTTGGTAGAATAACATGAATGGTAAATGTCGTAAAATCATAGATTCATAGAATGGTTTGGGTTGGAAGGGACCTTTGAAAGTCATCTAGTCCAATTCCCCTACAATAAGCAGGGACATCTTCCACTAGATCAGGTTGCTTCAAGCCCCATCCAACCTGACCTTGAATGTTTCCATGGATGGGGCATCTACGCTGAGCAACCTGACCAGTTGCTCATCCTAAAGAATTCTTCCTTCTATCTAGTCTAAATCTACCCTACCTTAGTTTAAAACCACTACCCCTTGTCCTGTCACTGCAGGCCCTACTAAAAAGTCTGTCCCCATCTTTTTTACAGGCCCTCTTTAAGTATTGAAAGGCCACACTAGGGTCTCCCTGGAGCCTTCTCTTCTCCAGGCTGAACAAACCCAACTCTCTCAGCCTGTCCTCATAGGAGAGGTGCTCCAGCCCTCTGATCATCTTGGTGGCCCTCCTCTGGGCCTGCTCCAAGAGGTCCTTGTGTTTCTTATGTTGGGGACTCCAGAGCTGGATGCAGTACTCCACGTGGGGTCTCACCAGAGCGGAGTAGAGGAGCAGAATCACCTCTCTTGACCTGCTGGCCACGCTTCTTTTGATGCAGCCCAGGGCACAGTTGGCTTTCTGGGCTGTGAGCGCCCATTGTCGGCTCATGTCCAGCTTTTCATCCACCAGTACCTCCAAGCCCTTCTCAGCAGGACTGCACTCAATCCCTTCATCACCCAGGACGCATTCATACCAGGGGCTGCCCCAATCCACATGCAGGACCCCCTCATGAGGTTTACACGGGCCCACTTCTCGAGCTTGTCCAGGTCCCTCTGGATGGCATCCGATCCCTCAAGTATGTCAACCACTCCACTCAGCTTGGTGTCATCTGTAAATTTGCTGAGGATCTGCTTGATCCCACTGTTGGCGTCCTTGATGGAGATCTTAAACAGTACTGGTCCCATTACGGACCCCTGAAGGACACCATTTGTCACCGATCTCCATCTGGACATTGAGCCGTTGACCACTATCCTCTGGATGCGACCATCCAACCAATTCCTCATCCACCAACAGTCCATCCATCAAATCCATCTCTCCTCAATTTAGATCAAACTAATTCGCTATTTTAATTTAAGTTCTTCCTATGGTTCTGCTAGCCACACACCAAACTTTGAGGCCCTACAATGGATCACACTTTAGACATAAATATTGCCAGTAAGAACTAAGATTGTTTGATGTCAAGGTCAGTGGTTCTCAAGCTACGGAAAACTGGGCTGCTGAGAGAAATGTCCACCTTAAACTCCAAGCACTACTGAAGGGCCGTGGAATAAGGAGGCTTTATGAACCCCCACCCCAAAAATTCATTTTGTGTTAAGTGTCCTAAGAGATACTGCCTGATTAAGTCACACAATTAAAAGTAGAGCACATATTTCCTAAAAGACGAAAGTAAGCTCAGGTCTACTAGCAGAAATACAATAAAAATAGTAAGTAAGCAGCAAGGAAACTAAAAGTTTAGTTTGCATGAACACTCTCCTCATTATTACCTATTATCATCCTAAGTCTTTGTCCTGGTTTGAGCAAATTAATTTCTCTTCTAATACTGCACTTTTAGAAGACTCTAGTGTCTGAATTTGTGAAAACATTTACTTTATAGCCAGCTGTGGTGTGTGGGTTTCAAGGTCTTGGTGTTTTCGAGCTCATGAGGTGCAGGCATGAGGAGGAGCAAGACCTGAGCACTTGACCCAGGCTGACGAACAGGATTATTTCATACCATGAATGTCACATTCAATATAAATTAGAAAGTTTGCTGAGGAGTTCTCTCTCTTCCTTGATGGCGGCCATCCTGAAAACTTCTTGCCCTGCTGCCAGACCCCTGAGCCCTTCCCTTCCTCCCAAAGCTGCACGCTTGCTGTGTCCCACGTTTACTGTCCACTGCTGGGAGTGCCCAGCTTCCAACTGATAGAATTGCATGAGTATAATCTTTGCATATTCTGCATTAGTATTGGGATCAATATTGGTTCTTCAGCGCTATTAATGCTAATTATCTAATCTTATTCTATTAAATCTGTTTATATTTCAACCCCTAGGTTTCCTTGTTTTTTCCCCTGATTCCCCTCCCCAGGTGGGGAGAGGTCATTGGGTGATAGAATGATTGTCTAAATGACAATAAACTGTTATGGGTTTCTCAAACCACAACAGTCTTCAAAAGCAGCAAATCCCAGTAAACAGGAACATATATTGCTCACCTATTAATTTAAGCACAGACCACTCCACCCTTTTCAGTCAAAGATTGTTAAGATTGTAGGTAGAACTTGGAAAACAGTTCAAGTTATTTCTACCACTGATGCCCACCTTTCACTGCCAAACTCGAGCAAATTCCCTTTGCAGGAAATTCATGCTATATCTCAAATAAATTCCAGGCCTGGGGGAAAATGCAAGTCACAGAAAATAGCTTAAGGCCAAAGTTCTACCCTACTGTCATCCTACATGTGTTGAGCAGCCTTTGGCACACCCGTCTTTCCAAAGTAAACCATCCTTCTACAGCACTGCTTGAAGTTGAAAGAAACCATTACCCCACCATTCAAACACATACTGATAACAACGTAGACTCAAATTGCATCTACTGTACACTGAAAGTGATAGAATTACACAAAAATTGAGTTCCTTTACTTAACTGAGGATTTTCTCACTGGCATGCAGTTTACCTACTCACTACGTTAATTTAATTTGAACTAATTTCCCTTTAGAAGTAAGAATTATCTATTTTCTAGAGAAACATAATTCATAAATGTATAGGCAACATTTAAAAAATTAAACTAACAAATTTTTCCATATACATAAGCATGCACTTGTTTTCTTGAGTCATTTTGCTGTTTCCCATGAATTCATGGAATTCTGAAACGGAGATGAAGCAAGGCGAGAAAACACATGTAGTCAGTTTTATCAAATGCATACATGGTTTTATTCCAATGTCCAAGTATGTGGGATGGGATATTAACCTTAAATAAGGACGATACAAAATTAGACAAATCTCAATTATTTTCTTGTAAATAAAAACTGAAAATGGATGACTGTTTCTCTAAATCAAATAATGACTTAGTACTGGATGCACAAAACACTCTTTAAAAGTTATATAACTTTGGAATAAAACTTTAAAATTCAATTGTTTGAAAAATATTGCATGGAAATATCTTGAAATCGCCATTCTTTCTCTGTCCTCAGTAATTCAGTCTATTCAGAAACACAGTTTTGAAGACATGACTTCAATGTAGAGGGGCTTATTTTGAAAGTGACTATTATAAAAAGTTATCAGGAGAAGAGGTCATGTATTTCAAGTCCACATTATTTTTGTCACAATTTGTTGTGAAGGTTATCAGTCAGTATCATTCATATTTGTTTCAATGGTCTCTGTAAGACCATTACTTTTATTCTCTTCTAGATAAGTAGCTCCTTTCTTAGTAAAAGTAGCAAACAGCGTATCCATCATTCCCAACACTTCTAGTAGTTCCTCTTGATAATCAATCTCTTTTCCTATGGCTTCCTGAAGTTTCAAGAATTGTCTGTCAACAATGGCTGACTGCCCAACCACAGGCTGATAAATGTCTGTAAAGAAAAAACATCACTTAAGAATCCACATATTTATAAAAACGTGAAAATTGTATGAGCAAGTTAGAGATGCATTTAAGCAGTCTGGCATAAGTCCAGCATTGTGGATAAATAATACAACTTTAGCGGTGTTCTGAAAACAGTGTTAATTATTGGTATGTACTCAGTAACATTAAGTCAACTAAGAGAAACAGAAGTTTTTATGATCTCAAATACTACTTTTACTTCAATGGAGAAGCGGAAGTCACTTGTACTATATAAGTATGTATAACTACTTGTACTAGTATAAGTATACATGAAGTATCAAAGATACTTAGAGACCATGAGGAGCTTCTAGTAGCCAGTGCAAATCAGATACTGACTGTCGTCTGGCAATGTCTTTTTAGATCATTCTCTTGACCCTGAGTTCACACTTATAAACAAACCCATCAAGGTTTGCTTTCTTAAAAGCATAGCACTTTTAACCTTATTTCCAAGTTTTGAGAATCTTTTTTGTGTTGTACTTACCAGTGATCATATCTGCAACAGTCACCAGCACCGCAGTAAATCTAGGCTCAATCACACGCCTGCAAAATTAGAAGATATCCCAATTTTACTGGTTTTGGCAACAGCCCTCCTTCTCCCACCAACAAGCAGCTTTGTCATACAAGCGTATAGACATTTTCTTCATGAAGAGACATCACAGAAGAGCAGTCAGAGATGCGAGTCAAAAAAAAGCTACATATGTAGTTATTTACCCTCCTCCTTTCAGGAAGGCAGGGGCGGCTGGAGGACTGGTAAAAACCTTAGGTACATGTAGACACACGTTTCATCGAGGAGACAGAAAATAATAGACTAAGGGTAGAATGTCTGGCAAAGAAGTAAAATATGCTCTCTCACACTATGAGCAAAATTGTAAGCTATTTCAGTACTATCCCAGACCTTGCTATCAGAAAGTAGAAGGCATGTGAGATTTCAAGAGTACCACTGTTCCAGCCATGATCTGTTGAGACTGGCAAAAGCTATTAAGAAATACAGGTCTCAAAATAGTGAGAGAGAACTCAGGTTAAAATCATACCTTGCCACAAAGGTAAGAAGGAGATTAATTTGTTTCTCGTCTCGGCCTGCAAGTGCGCTCCTCAGTGTTCCTCTGCGATGCAGTTCCTGCATGACTGCGACCGTAACTTCAGGAGTATAAAGCCTGATGGGTGGCTGAACACAAGCAGAGTTTAGTACCAAAGCAACACCTTAACACACAAAACAGGGCTGATAACAGCAAAACCAAAATGGAAACCACACAAGTTTGATTCCTTTCTAGTTTTACACTGAAATAAAATTAGTTTGACATACAGAACAAATCCAGGTCAGATAACAGCACACAACTCTGATGAGACAAAAACCAATGCCTTACCTCCAGTACCGCATCAAGGGCCTTGGAAGACTGAAAGCTCTTCAGCAGCTTGTCATATTTCCTCAAAACACGTTTTACAGGCTTACTGACACAGAAATCTTCCTAGAATTGAAAGACAAGTTCAGAATAAGACAGACATGCACACAATGAATTACATGCATTACCATGAACAATCTTGTATGTCTTGGCATCTTCCTTCCTTTTCTTTAACTTAGCGCACTCAAAAAAAAAAATAAATTGAGGAGTGCTTCAGTATACGTTTTCTCACCCCCCTGTACCTGTTTCGGCATGTAAGTTCTTCCTTTCACATAGGTTCTATATGCTGGTTGTCTCTTCTTTTCAGACTTTTCTTTCCTTTCTTCAGGTTTTCTGTGTTTAACATTTAGCACCCCATTGGTCATGCCTACAACTATGGTTTCATCCTCAGGCTAAAATAAAGAAATCACAAAATTAGGAACCTAGTGTTTTATTCGATGATGCATGCTCTACCACGCAGATTTTTAAATATTTATTCTTCAAGATGAGGCCCTAATCACAGTATCATAGAGTAACTCAAGTTGGAAGGCACCTCTATGAGGGTCTGTGGTCAAATACCTTGTTCAAAACATGGACAAATTCAAGGCTATGATGGTAAGCAATGTTATCCATCTAATAAACTTTTAACAAACACCTAGAGGGACTAAAGCCTGACTAGTGAAGCAAGCTCAAATATGCATTAACGTCGTTCTGTAAGTATAATTTATGACAGGTTTTGTTTTTTTTCAATGGTGTACACCTGCCTTTTGCTACTGCATGCCATACAGCAGACAGGAACACCACCTATGAGAAAGCTATCATGGAACAGCAGGATTCTGACAAACAAGTGAAAGTTGTTCAAAATACCAGTCACTGGTATAAATTTCTCTTACATAACAAAGGTTGCATGTATTTGATGCTAAACATTGTAAGTTTGAATGACGCACTGGAGAA